CATGCTGCAGGCTGCCTCTGATTGTGGAGGGAGGTTGATGGAGGAGGGCCTGGCCCGTGGGTCATTCTGCGGTGGGGAGCCTCTCTCTGACCCTCCAAACCCCACTCATTCCAGGGGTGGCTGTGAAGGTGGAGGAGCCCAAATACAAGAAGGACAAGCAACTCAATGACAAGATCTCCCTGTTCCGTGGCGACATCACCAAGCTGGAGGTGGATGCCATTGTCAATGCCGGTGAGTGGGGGCTTCTGGCTGGCCTGGGTGGCTGCCTCATCGCCCGCCCTGGGTCTGCTGAGCCAGGAGTGGCGGATATCAACTGGCTCCAGCAGGGCTCGGGTTGCTGGGCAAGAGTGGCCTGCTGGCGCCACGGAAACCCAGTGTGTTGTCCTCGTGGGCTCTGCGTCCCTTGAAACCCAGACCCGCTGTGTCAGGGGGCACCTCAGCTGAACGTCTCGCAGCGTCTGAGACCATTAGCAGCTGGGGATGGGGAGAGCTCAGCTGGAATCAGGACGGGCTGCTCTGCCAGGAACGCAGGGGCCAGAGTGGGGTGGTCTGACCATATGGGCTGGAGATGCCCCTGACCAGCGCTTTCCTTCCTCCTGCCCCTCCCTCTTTGGACCTGGGCAGGTGAGGGGGCTTGGAAGGGAAGGGTGGGGTAGAGAGGCCTCCTGCAGCTCCTGGCAGCTCTCTAGTGCCTGGCTGGCTTGGCAGTTTGTTGTGACAAATAAGGGAGTTGGTGCTTTTTTCCCCTCTTGGGGAAGGAAGGTGGCTGCTCTCCTCCCCCTGGGCAGAGTTGTGCGAGGTCAAAATGCTCCAGGGAAGGCCTCTGGAGCGCTTAGCAGTGGGGTGTGAAGAGGAGACAGCAGCCATGGTCACGGTCAGCAGGTGTGCAGGTGGTTCATGGGGCCAGAGCGAGCGGGCTGAATGCCGGCCCTCGCTCACTCGCTTGCTGAACCTCCAATAAGAGGAAGGGGTGCTTTTGTCTTAGGTGCTGGGAAGCTCATCCTTCACCAGCCTGGCCAGACCCTCTGGTCTTGGGCGCTGATTCACAGGGAAAATCCTGCACGGGCTTGGGCCCCTCAGGAGCTTCTGGAATCTCCATGTCTCACCCTTGAACCTGCAGTGCTGGTGAGGGGTGGATCCTCAGTGTTTCCAGGACACGGTGGTGTGGATGCTGTCCCCACTGATTTCACTGTGACTGGGCTCAAAGGCCTAGGGGAGGGTCCGCTTGGCCCACTCTCGCCTGCTGGTCTGCGGCGCGGTTTGCATTCTTGGCAGGGGCACTGCTCTGTGCCTTTCCCCAACATCGTTTGCAAAACTGTACAGTCGCACAGGGTCCTTCCCTTTCCCCCTCTGTACCTGTCTCAGGTGCACAGGTGACAAGGCAAACACAGGCAGGAGTTCCAACTCGGAGTGACTGGCCAAGGGGGTAGAGGGAATTCGGGTCACATTCTGGGTTTCTGCTGGTGGTTCTGGTGTCTCCTCTGGTCACTAGGACCACTAGGACAGGTGGGTGGGAGCAGTGTCAGCAAGTCCATCTGGGGTGATACGGTGCTACGACAGCCATTTCTGGTTGGCAGACGTCACAGTGGCCGGGGGTAAAGAGCGTCCTGCTGCTGGTACCAGGGGCAGGAGAACCAAGCGGCCTGAAGTCTGTGAGAACAAATATGTACAGGGCAGAGCTAAGCTGCATTCCTGCCCTGCCCCGTGGGGCTGTGGCGGAGTGGCAATCACCTGCCTGGTGCCCCTGCATGTGGAGGCCCTGCTGGTACCCTTCTTGCAAGAAGAGAAAAGTGGGGCATCTTATTAGCTCCTCCCCAGCCCAGGTTGGTGGCCACGAGGGAGGGTGTAAGGGCTGGGTGGGGAGACGGTGGTGTTGGCGGGATGCAGATGGAGTGGGATGGGGGGGAGGCTGCACTCAGCAGCGGTGGCGGTGGCTGGGTCGCGGCGTGATTAATGGTTCTTCCTAAGTGCCCTTGTGACTTGCCAGACTTCGAGCGCGCAGCTCTGTCAGCTCCTCACCCTCGGAAAAGCACTTTAGTCCTGGCTTCGTTTTACTGCACTGGGGCTGGGGGTGGGGCCCGGGCTCCCCCTTCTGCGTCCCCCTGTACCTGCCTCTGTGTAGTCCTCTGTGCAGCGGCAGAAAGCCTACCCACAGTTGTTGGGGTGTCCCATGAAGTGCAAAGCCCATGCAGCGCCTGGCTCAGTACCTGCTGCTGCTGTTGGTCCTAACGTCGACATCTGTCATCGTCACTATGAGCACCTCCCACAGATGAGGCAGCTGGGCTCTTTCGCCGCCTTCTGCTTGCCTCAGTTTACCCAACAACGCCTGGTACACTTTCCTGGGGTCTCCTTTTTTCCTGGAGTTTTTCTGTGGAGACCTATAGGACCACAGCTGGCCAGGAGCCCCAGGGAACAGCTCACGCAGGCCTTGGACCTGGGGCTTCCGCACAGGAACCCCCTCACCACGTCCTTCCAGGTCTTTCCTTGGTCCCAGGGTAACTTTGTCATTGGCCCTCGGTGCTGAGCAGGCTTGGCACCGCTCTGGAGGCGTGTACGTGGGTCTTCAGCATCCCTGGCTCCGGCTCTGTCTGGCTCCCTCTCTGGAGGGCTCTGGAACTTTGGTCCCCTGGCGGCTTTGGTCCTACCCTCTGGAGTGTGTGTGTGTGGGTTCTCACCGGCCTTGTCTCTGGCCCCTTCCATAGGAGTCTGGGATGGCTTCTGGGCTCCCCTCCTTGGCTCCGCCTCCATATGTGTGTGGCTCAGGCCCCATCACTTGGGGTCCCTGGTGCCTTGGCACTGATGGGACTCGGGGGCCCTTGGTGGTTCTGGCACTTACTCACACCCCGGAGTGAGTCTTGGCTCTGGCAGGGTCCCTGCGAGTCCCGAGCCCCTTGACTTTTTGCCCCGCCCCCGCTCCACACAGGCGGCCTTGGCCCCGCCCCACGCCGCCACCAGGGGGCAGCAGAGCGCGCGTCTCCTGGCGCCGCCCGGGCGGTGAATCAGCCCGTTTATTAGCGGAATAAAAGTCGTGGGGAACGCGGGGCTTTTCGGGGTGGCATAAATCTGCGTCTGTGCCTCGTGAAACCCATATGTGCTTAATTCATATGTAAAGTTTCAAGCAGGAAGAGACTACGTGTCCATTAAATTCTATTTGACTTGATTATAATCATTAGCCGTGAATAATTGCTTCTCGGCCGGCCGTGGAGCCACCACAATGGGAGAAAGGAGGCAGCAATTATCTCCGGGTGGGAATTCTTTAATTTTTATTTTTGAGGCCCAGGGCAGCGTTGGCGCCGCGGGTTTTGGTGGCCCGAGGGGAACCCTGCAGGTAGGATTGGGTCTGGGAGCTTGAGGTCCGGCTACCTGTGGGTGGGGTCTCTTTTTGTCCCCCTGCCAGACTGGGGTGGGCTGGGATGGTGTGGCTGCCACCTTCCCTCTCCTAGCCTCACTCCAGCTGGCTGCAGGGACTTGGCAGGGTGTAAGGGGAGCTGGGAGGGGCCTGTGAGAAAAGGGGGGCGGGGTCCCCATGCTCTTTCCATCCTGAAAAATCAGGGTTGGGGGTGTCTCCAGCCAGGCCAAAGGAACCCCTCCCGCCCCTGGGAAGGACTCTGGGGATCCTTGGGCCTGGCGACCTCCTGCCATCTCTTCTCACCCCTTCTTCCCACAGACGGCTTTGGAAAATCAGACTCTTTCCCAGCTGGTCCCCCTGGCATCTGAAATCCAGGACTGGCTTTCACCCCAATTTGTTGGGATTGGACATGGGATTGGAGTGTGTATGTATGTGTGTGGTGTGTGTGTCTATGTGATGTGTGTGGGGGGTGTGTGAGGTGTGGATGTGTGTGTTAATATGATGGTATGGGTGTGGGTGTGATGTGTATTATGTGTGTATGTGATGTGGGTGTATGTGTAATGTGTTTGTGTGATGTGTGCGTTATATGTGTGTGATGTAGGGTAAGTTTGTGTGATATATGGGGTGTTTGTGTGTGATATGTGTGTGTGATGTGGTACTATATGTGTGGTGTGTATGTGTCTGATGGGTGTAATATGTATGTATTTGTGTGATGTGTGAGGTGTGTGATATAGGGATGTGTGTAGTATGTGTATTTGTGCAATGTGTGTGTGGAGTATGTGCTTAATGTGTGGGGTGTGTTTGTGTGATGTGTATGTGTGTGATGTGTGGGGTGTGATATGTGCTGTGTGGTATGTGGCATGGAGGGAGGCTGGGGCAAAGAGTACGTTGCAGGGTTAGGACCCCCCAGCCCAGGCCCAGTGCAGCCCCTCTCGTCAGCCCTCCCCACTCCGCCCCCCACCAGTCCTCCTCGACCCCCCTCCATGGGCTGCCGACTGATTGCCCACGCAGCGCCCAGAGAGTCCCCGGCTCCCGCCTCCTGTGCCAGCCACGGCTCCTGCCCATGTATCTGTCCTAATTAAATTGGGTTGCCACACTGGTGAGATGAGCACAGAGCCCCAGCAGGCCCCCAGTCCTGCAGCAGGAGAGTCTGGGGGCCGACAGCCCCAGGCTGTGTTTGCAGTGAACTGTGCTGGCATCTCCACCAGAGGAAGCTCAGGTGGGGGCTCCACCCAGGGCAGGAGGTGCTCCGGCTTCTGGAGTGGTTTTGTCTTCTCTTTGCCCCAGGAGAACATGACCTTGACCCGGTCACTTCTTCCCATGCCCTTGGGTCCTAGCTTACCAGGCCTGTGCCTGTGGGGCCCCCTTGTCCCTGACAGACAGGGGAATCCCAGGCAGGAAGTGTCCTGGGCTCAGAGAAAGACCCCCATTCTTGGGCAGCGCAGAGGTCCGGCCCCTGGCCTTGGCCTGCAGGGCATGATGGGACAGACCGGGGATGAATGCGATGCTTTGTGCAGAGACAGATGGGACCTTACACCTCAACGTGGTGCTCAGCCAACAAGTGGGTGCCGAGGGTGGCGTGGCCAGGGGCCATGGAATTGCAGTGTTCCTGCTGACAGTCTCGTGGCCTCCGAGCCTCCATTTCCCCATGTGAGAAATGGCATCATAAGCGGCCTTACCCAGGGTGGGTAGGGTGAAGTGCGTGAGGCCCACCCAGCGCTGGGCGCGGAGCCTGGTACACAGTGAGCCCCCAGTAAATTATTATTGGGAAGTCGGGAATCAGAACAACTAAGTAGAATATAATGTGACAAAGCACTGGAAGGGCGGTCTGAGCAAAGTGCCACGCGACACCGCTGGGACCAATTAATCCTGCAAGGAGGTG